AACTCCGCCGTCGTCGTCGTCGTGCGTACGCGCCCACGAGCAATACCGCTAGCCATGATAACCATGAGAAAATCAACTCATGGGTTTCCTTTTCTTTGCTATATGAGTATGGGGCTCCACTATAATGGACATCAATGCACACAATACAGAAGGTTAATTGACCGTTTTCTTTTTCGGGGTATTGGATTGCATCTAGATTGCAATGATGGCTCATGCTGGGGAATATCATTAAAAAAAGATTAATGTCACTTGCATTTGAAAACACTCCTCGCATTAGCTTTAGTTACAAGCTAGTTCCAATCCGAGAATAGAAAATGGTGCATTGTTATTGGTCAATGTTTTTTTTTCGTTTCAAAAACATCGAATTAATCCATCGTTTTCATTGTGAATGTAGACTTTCTTTTTATTCTTACGAAAGCTTATTTAAAGCAATTGCTCTTTTTATTTGTAATATTTCATTCGTATATATATCGAGTCGTAAACTGTAGTTATAAGATTATAAGATCGGCGAACCATTTATACGCCAGAACGATTTTTAAACTTACATATGGTTCATTTTCAGTGTTACGTCTAAGATGAAAGACTAACACATTTTGTTTAACTTTATTCAATTAAAATCTATAACTTATAAATTTATTTGTAACAACGAGTTGTTTAAAGTGCCACTATGATCAAATTCTCGATACCCATTTTTTTACATTTTTGTACACAATAGGTCTTTCCTAGATATCTTGGCAAATTTCCATCTATTACGAACATTAGAACTCATGTCTTTTGGACCTTTATTTCCGAAAATTTACGGCCGCCATTAATTTTCCTTGTTCCAAGTCCTGGTTGAGGATTGGAGAAAATGACGTCATTTTCTCAAAAATACCACACGGGTTGAAATTATGATAACAATTAGTACAGCAATTCGCATAAAGAATAGCAAAAACTTTGGCTCATATATTCGTGCAATTTTCTACATTAATTGTTGTTATAATTTCAACCCGTGCGGTATTTTTGAGAAAATGACATCATTTTCTCAAACTCTCAACCAAGACTCAGAACAAGGAAAATTAATAACGGCCGTAAATTCTCGGAAATAAAGGTCCAAAAACCGCGAGTTCTAATGTTCGTAATAGATTGAAATCTGCCAAGATATCTAGGAAAGACCTATTGTGTACGAAAATGTAAAAAAATGGATATCGCAAATTTCATCATAGTGGTACTTCAAGACGTGATCTAAATATTTATTTTTCGGTGACCTTTGTTATGATCAAGCTATAGCCTCGAGCGCAGTCGTCTTTACAAGACTGGGGACTACTCAGCAAAATCGACTTATACGTGCTGCTTTCATGTTTGTGGAATCCGTTGTCGAAGCCAATTACCAGGATTGATCATGATAATATAGGATATAGCGTTCTCTGGTAAAAAGTATTTAAAAACTCAAAGTGTTTCCTGTGAGATCTGAGATTGTCAATGATAAATTAAATCTATCCATATTCATTCTGTCGATATCATTGTGCTGACTACGAGCAATTTCCTTCTTTTCCGAATTTTCTATGGCGTGAGTGAATGCAAAGCGTCGATTGAAGAAGTTACAGCAGTGATATTCTAAAACGTTCTTTTTCCTGCCTTTGCAACGACTTAAAATTTAGGTCTCCGTTTCTACCGTTGATTTCCTCAAACTAATTTGCACTCGCGCTAAGTTTTCCTAAAACTTTCTATTTCCTGGCTTTGGAACTCCTGTTGGAACTACTTAAAATTTAGTTGTCTGTTTGTAACGTTGATTTCCATAAACTAATTTCCTCTCCCGCTTAGGATCTTCCCGGGGGAACCTTAAAAAATCTATTATTTATTTATTGCATAAGTGACAGATAGAAGTTCTTAGAATTTTCTTTGTGGTAAGCCTTGCTGCCTTGTACTAAGATCAATCAATGTACATTTCTTGCTGAAGTTAAAAAAGCATTGTCCAGTGTGTCTTACCTATTTTTTAAACGTAGTTAGGGCTGACGTAAGCAAAAAATCGAGACTCTGCAGCTGTTAAACGGGAAATTATAGTGTTATTTGTTCTAAACACGATTTTTAGTTTATTATCTTTCCTCTTTGAAATTTTATTGGTTGTTTCCTAAACACACAAGTAATCATATAAGTTGCGCTTGATGATTTTTAGAATGGAATCTTCAAAAACAACGTTCATGGATGAGCGAATCCGGCTTCAGGCTCACGCTTTTAGCAAATTTCGTTTGATTAATTCCGGTGTAGTAAGGCTTTACTCTCCTCACGCCTGTTGGGTATTGCCACTCAAATTTCTGCTTGATTACCGCCTTTATTTCTTAGATGAAAATTATCTTGTCCCAAATTTCGTCTTGGAAAACATGGAAAAGTGCGAGATAAGGCCTCGTAGAACTCGTCATTTCGCAAGCAATACACCCACGGGTTGATTCCCGATGAAGTAAAGGCAAGTGCTTCGACGGATGTCCACTCTGTGTAGTAAGATAATTGTTGATTGAGACCACAAGGATCCAGTGTGAAATAATTCACCAAAGACGTGACTAGACTTGGCGACCAGCAAACAACAAACAGCCCAACCACAATGCTTACTGTCTTGGCGGCCTTGGAATTCTTTTTTCCTCTTTTAACCGCGTCTTGATTCAGCAAGCTGTTGTCTGTTATTATTTTTCTCGACTGCTCTGCTGCGGCTCTTAAGATCCGAATGGAGCAAGACACGATGACCATCATAGGTATCAATACCGTGATGATTGCAAAAGACAACCATAGCGCTACGCTACCTTCCGCGACCACAAACCTCGAACAGGGGAGAATCAAGGACATCAACCAAACAGTGGCTATGAGCTCGTAACATCTCCTTTTAGTTAGAATTTCTCGGTAGCGGAGAGAATGAATGATGGCGATGTACCTGTCTAGGCTAACACAGCACAAGTTAAATGTTGTGGCCACCGTTGTGTGTATCCAAAGATAGTCGTTAACTTTACCGTGGGTTTGCAAGTAAGTATCAGCGTCATATCCCAAGCATCTGATAAATATCCACGTTGGGGCAATCACCAAACCAACTAAAAAGTCGGCTGCTGCCAGCGAAGTTAAAAATAAGTTTGAAATTGTTCTTAGTGACTGGGTTTTGGCGATCAACCACAAAACAACCGCATTTGCAATTGTGGCCGCCAAACCCACGAGACCATACCAGGTCGACAAGAGAACCTTTGCTGTCATGCTCAGTTCTTTATACTCACTTTGGCAAGTGTTGTTCATCTTTTCTGGTTCCTGTGCTTTGTTGAATTTTATCTGGTAAGAAATTTTAAAACGGCGACAAAATTTGCTGCAGGCGACGAATTATCTTGGGTTAATATGCCGCGTATTTACCACTAGGTTAATTAAAATTCAGGTGATGACTTGGGGGGTTTTCAATCAATCGATTATAGCTGATAGTGCCTGTCATTCGTGTCGTCACTGTGCTGCGCTCATAACAAAGAGGTTGTTTTTTTGACATTTTAAGTCTGGAAGGAAAATTCTAATAACACTTTATGTGTTGAAACATTCCTCTTCTAAAATTGTCGTGAATTTCTGTCTTATTTGGTAGGTCAACAGTTAAGGTCTGTGTTGTTTCAGCTTGTCAACTTTTAGGTATAATTCCAATAATCTGTTATCAATAATCCATGATTCGATCGTTTGTCTTTGTTTGTTTCGGTGGCCGCCGTTTTACCAGTTTATTCCAAGAAAACGTGAGCCTAAAAGCGAGCTGTTTCAAATTTTCATGTGTTTGACACGCGTAAGCTTCGGTCTTTTGGCTATGTCGGTAATAGAACGATCTACGCTAAGCCATCGGAACATAAGCTGGTAGGTATAATAAACAAATATGCAAAAACCTCACTTTAATTTATACAAAGAATTAATTGCTGCAACAGGCTTGAGAGCTGCGTTCACGTAACGTCAATTAAATTTAAAAAAAAATTACCACTTGAAATATAGTTGTGCCTAGAAACGGCACGTAGCTTTTCAATATCTGTTAAGCGATGCAAACGTCTTGGATTTTCTCCATTTTCCACCTGTTGTTTTATTTTGTTTAATGAAATAAGTTAAATGAAATATTAAAGCGACAAGGGACTAATGGCTCCTTGCCTAATGGACCACCTTTTATTTGGTATGATTGAATACGCAGTGAGAAATGTGTTCGTTATAAACGGCTGGTTTGAGTCGGCGTCAACACTACGCCTGAGAAATTATTTCTCCGGTTAGGCCTAAACGCCCACACTAATCAATCACGAAAACGGAACTTTTCGAAAACGTTCTTCAAACCGGAGAAATTTGAAAACGGCGGGTTTTGACTTTCCTGTGGACGGAAAACATATTGAAAACGGAACTTTTTAGTCGAAAATTATGGCGTGACGATAATCATGTGATTTCCCAGACCGAGTTTTCCTCAAACACAAATTTAAGATGACCGGTAATTGATGCATTGTTAAATTCATCCGGCGTAGCGTGGACGGTACCTGAACCTACTTTGAACTGATACTGGCCATGGCTTTGAATCCATCTGCGTGATGTTGCAACAGACAGAAACGAGTCTCGCCTTATTTTTGTTATGTGTATGCTTTATTTAACTAAACTTCGTTACTTTCTCTTCTTTAAAAAAAGATCTTATTTTACAAATGAATTATTTCTGACATTACAGGAACTATATACGTCTGAAAATTTCAAGAAATTATTAACAGATTAAAGAATTAACATATAGAAGAACATTTTAGAAGAAAGTGAACGCTTGTACATGACGTATCGGTGTCATCTTGTCGCCATTAAAAATGCAAATTTTGAAGTCATACGATAGTGATGGGAGATGAAGTTAGACACGTAATGTTTAAAATAAATTATTTCGTGATCGCGAGAAATAAATAGGCAGTACCTTCGATTACTGACGGCTATATTAATATAATCAAATCTAGCACCAGTTTTTCGAAGGCTGGATAACGCTATCCACCGAATAAATCGCTATCCAGTAAATAAGTGTTAACAAGACAAACCACGCTATCCACTGGATTGTGATTTATCCAGTGGATAGCGTTATCCCCCTTTCGAACAACCCGGACCAGACGTTTAGCAAAATGTAGGCCTATTAAAACCTGCCTTTGAAAAAGCAGCTTTCCAGTTTACTCTCATTTGGTAAATGCAGTTTCTATCAGTTATGCTTCATAATTCCTTATTTGAAAAATAAGACAAGAAGCAAGCATGAGCGTGATACGCTTGCTTCTGATGCAATATAAGTCCGGACGAAGGAAAAACCTTGTCAAGCCGTTGAATCGCGTTGCTTCCGAGGATTGGAAACATTTACATGTAGCTTAGAAGTATATACCGGTATATAAAATTTATTAAGATATTTGTTATTGTCATCATTCAATGGCGCGTTTATAGAGCTGTCAACTCTCTAAGGTAACAAAAGAGAAAGACATCTTGTATGTGTGCAGTCGTGGATGCTACTTGAATTCGTGTTCTGATAAAGAGGCCGCTTCTTTTAAATCAGGAAAAGGTTTTGTGAATCCATCCTTCCCGTTTAAAAAGTATGTGGTGATAGTTCCTTTTCCCTGCAAAAGAAGGATTATGAGGCTTAACGCGAAACGATGGCTACCTAGTACAACCTGGAAGGAGGTTTGGATATCCGGTGTTAATTAGCATAGGTTTTGACGATTTTACTTCTCCGTTCACTCCTTAGTTTTTGATTCGATTGAGAAGATATATCAAACACTGGAGACAGTGTTTCATCGGCTATCCAAAAACCTCGAATTTCGTCAAAAATACTCCGCTGCGCGTTGTATTTTCAACTCTCTTCTCGGTATTTGGGTATCCCGATGAAACACTGTCTCTCGTTTTTGATATATTACGTATTACACCCAACCTTCCCATCGTGTGCTGCGCGTATGTCAAACTGATTGTGTTAGCCACTGTCAGTTTTTTTCTATGGCATGGTATACACTGTAAAAAACGGTATGCAACACTTTTTTTCGTTGTGTTCCATGGAATAGCCCACTCGTCACTTGTGTTTTTTCAGTGTACACACTGGTATACAACTCGAAAGCGTCCCATAACTAGTTTTTACATGCATATGAGTTTTATTTTCGCTGACGAAAGGATCTGTTATTATACACTCGAGGTAATTATAAACTAAACATTGCGGGGCCTCTGACTACAAGAAATTGTGTTTTTCTTTTTTTTCAGTCAGAAGCAAGGTTTCGGATACTAAAGCGACAGAACATCATTTTGGTAGAGATACTTTCACACCAAACGTGGATAAAATGTCGGAGTAGAACAATGCGTTGTGACCTTGCTGTGGGCTTTATGCATAGTACGAGTTACCCAAGATAAATCTTTTTTAGTTCGAGTCAAATGTTGAACAAAAACTACATACTTCCTTTAATTGGTCTAAATAGTAACAAATGATGTCACAAAACCTAACTGCACCTTTGGTTTTCAAGACATTCTGGATATGGTTGACAGCTTACCTTCATTGCAACCGGTCCTCTTTCCTCCATCTGAAAACCCCCAAGAAGATCCAAGGCCGCTTTGCATTCTGGGCTTAAGTGAATTCTTAACGCTGAAAAAGTTCGGCGTAAATGGAAAAATATAAACAAGATAAAAAAGAAAACGGAAATATTATTTTGTTAGATTTGATAGAGAGCGTAGTTGTGATTCGGAAACCCGGGTACTATTGTACTTCAAATGATTAGACTTGTATTTATCAAATGTGTAAATGTCACAGCGAAAAAAAGATTGTCAGCCGGGCCAAGCCTTAAATGTACTACGTTGCAAAACCATTTTCGACCGTGATCAGTGGCGCTTCGACATCTCGTTCGAAAGATAGGAACACAAAAACTATTTTGACTAGAATGGCACGCTGAAATTAAGTCTCGGAGAGAAGACTAGATTGTCTGGAGTATTAAACATATATATGGCATGTTTTTCTTTAGCCCGTGAACAGGCCCTCCCGTCGAGGATGGTGCGAAGAGAAAGCGGGAATAAAGAGGATAGAATGGAGAGGAGGGCCGGACAGAGTTCCTCCTCGGCCCTTCCAGCAGCGGTCAGACCCTTCAAGTCGGAGCTTGTTCACAGGCTAGATTACTTTTCAACGTAACGTAGCATAGCTCGTAGTCCTCAATTTTAAAAGTGTAGAAGATTAAGTTCACTTTATACTTTTCAAACATCGGGAATACTTAATTTTATGTACTTACATTTTAACTAGTTTGTATTTTCTTTTGTTACTTGTTTATTAGGTAATGTACATTTATATGATATTTTAAGAGTGGGCATCCTGCTAATTAAGTAGTTTTTTAAGCTAAGCGGAGTTGGCATTATAGATAAAGAATTACCATTACCAGTTCAGAGAGCTGTCACAAAAACTCACCTAGACCACTAGATTCCATCCTTGAAGCATAGTTCACAGTGTCACCAAACAAACAGTATCGAGGCATTTTGAGTCCTACAACTCCAGCCACACACGACCCTACACGTGTACAAATGAGAAAATGACAGTTCTTAGTCGATTCCTCAAAAGTCAACTTTCTGAATAGTTTGAGAAATGAAAGTTTTTCTCTTGCGGTAAGCTATGTCTAACGTCTATCTGCATGACAAGTGGCAAGCTATACTGACCAGTATGAATTCCTATTCGTAGTTGAAGTCTGCTGTTTGGTAGGTGCTGGATGGTGAAGTCTCTTGTAGAACTGAGTAAGTTTAGCGCCATTGTGGCTATCTCACCAGCGTGCTTATTGCCGTTCCGGACAGGCAAGCCTGATACAACCATGTATGCGTCACCAATTGTCTCAACCTGTTTCGAATGCGGAAGATAAAGCATTTTCGCATTCCCTCAACTCATGCCAACTGATGTAGTTAAATCGTAGTATAATATAGTTTTATAGTATAGTAAGTATAACATTTCTCTCTTAACAGTTTGAGTCAGCAATAACTTCGTAAAGTCAACAACCATGCGCAGGCGCTGTCATAAATAGAGAGCTTAGGTAATTACGACGGCGACCCCGAGGACAACGACTAGTAAAAAATGAACTTACGTTTTAACTTCGAATTTTTTAATTGTATAGATCTGTTCAGTTCGCCTACTGGTATCAAAACTGGCGCAAGCTAAATATATATAACATCAGCGTTTGTCCAAATGAAAATGCAAAAAATTAGCGGCCACACGCAGAACTTGGTCGTTTGAAGTTGTTGTTGGGCAGAGGACGACAAAGAAATGTGCAAAGATTTATAACGCACGTGCACAGCCATTTTTCTGCTCACAAAACGTTTTTTTTTTGGTGACATTCCCGTTACCGTCGACGTCGTGGCTTGCTAAAGCTCCCTAATGTAATATGATCTGGTCGGTTACCAATCAGGGTACACAAAGCATCTTCAAGTAAGTTCTACCCCAATCAAGCTGTTTATTCTCAGTTTCTTCTGCTTTTTTCGTGAGATAAAGAAATACATAAATTACCTTCAAAGTTTTCCCATTACAATGAGCTTTTGGAAGTTAAGGAACCATGCGTTCGGGCAGCAACGGGAAGAAGGAAATGCATAATTCTACAAACAAGGTTTAGAGTTCGCCAAAAAAAACGACCTACCTTGTAAACATCATGAGCGTCAATAATGTTATCGAAACAAGTGTACAAATCGTTTAAGAAATGCACCACCTGCGGAAAGACAGTAAGCTGTTTATAGTGTTGGTTACCAACATTTCTACCAGACTTTGTGAAGGTGCACTACGAACAGATACTTGGACGGAATTATGAGCAGCGGCTTCCGTCTTAAAGGGAGCAACTTCACTGTTCGCGCATAATGAAATGCTTAGCCTAATTTTTTCTAGTTCGTCGTTTTCTAATCCGTGTCAATCTGAACCATCCTAAACCATCCTGTTCCTTGATGGTTTATTATTATCTCTTTGGTGTTTTTCTGTGTAAGTAAACTATTATTTTTAGGTTTCCTTCAGTATAATGGTAATTTTGTACGTGGCAAAAGTAACTCAAAATCCCGTTACTGAGCTCCTTTAAGCTTGATAGAAGTACGCAACAGGACGTTAATCCAGATGTTATGCAAGTAAAATGATGCAACGACTTTATAACGTACGACATAGTGAAGTTACTCGGGTGGGAATACAGTACAGCAAAAGCTACAATAACTTTGACTGGAATCGAAAGTTGAAGAGATGATCAGTACCTGCAGTGGTGTGCACCGAGCAGCCAGGGAGGTGAAGCCCACGATATCACTGAAGTAAATTGTCACGCAAGAGAAGCTTTCAGCCGTCACAGATCTTCCCAGCTTAAGATCCTCTGCGATTGGTCTAAAAGGAGACAATGCACTACATTTAGTGTGCTTGAAATTAACTGAAATTACTGGGTGGTTAATTTAAAACAACTGATTTTGATACTGAGGTGAAGTCACTTTTCAAACAAATTATCATTGCGTACTGTTGGCTTTTTATATAACTTTGATTCCTTTTAATTACTGATAACTAAAGCGTATTACCTTGTAAACAAATTTGCTCCTGTTATTAACCACAGGAAAGCAATAAAACTGGAAAACGTTTATTGTTTGGAGAAAGTTAGTTCAAATGGTTCAGTTCAGTTTAATAAGCTCGCTTCAAAAATAAATAACTTTTAAGCCTGGTTTTTACTACGACATAAGCACAGACATATGCATAACCGTAGCGAGGACGCCAACAGTCAAAGCGTATAAGAACAAGTACATATGGTTGTGAGGACGCGCACAGCATAAGCATAAGCACAAACACAAGCAGAAGAATCGTTTGTGTTCTTGTGCTTGTGCTTATGTCAAGTGAGAACGCGCTGCTATAAGCATGAGCGTAAGAATAAGCGAGAGTTCGCTGACTTAATTGTTTTACTGTATCGAGAATTGAGGTATGAAACCGGAAACAAGGTACTTATCCATTCTGCGCATGCCTATGTGCTTATGCTTGTGCTGTGGGCGTTCTCACTACCGATATGCTTATGCTTGAGCTTGTGCTTATGTCGTGTTGAAAACCAGGCCTAACTAAACAAACCTAAAAAACAATATTTAAAAAAGTATTGTTATAAAGGAACTTGATTCCTTTTTTGACGCAGTAGTGATAAGACCTTTTTCAGTCCTTCAGCTATATCTTTATAAATCGTTTATACCAAACTACATCTGAAGTAGTTAATGCTTAGCATAATGACGCTTACTTTGGAAGCATTTTGTAAAGAAGCTCGTCTGTTTTAGCCTTCTCCTCCGCCAGTTGCATTGTCCTCTCATCTACAAGATGTTCCAGTTGGTCTGTGTAACTTTCCATCATCCGTATCATGTTATCCACAATGTTGGCATTTCTGTAAAAGGCGTTCAGTGAACATACTTTTCTATTGTGATTGATGTATTGACACGGTTGGCATTTTTTCCAATAAATTTTCGATTCATGGCCAACCTCGTAGAACTGATTAGTTTCGATTCGTATGTTTTCAAGTTAAAACTGGCACCTGACTTCGCCTGTCCTAGACAAGATTTGGACCTCGCTTTTTTATTTTGTGTTACTTACTACAATCCAATTTGGCGAAGTTAATTTAGTAATGGGCATGTATTCATTACTCATATACATGTACTCTACACAACCATTTGACATTATTAAACTACTAATTCTGCTTTCCGTCAAGCAGACTCTGCACTATAAACATAAGCATAAACATATAAACATGACATAAGTACAGACTTACTTTCCGCGACTTAGAGACTTAAACTTTGACTTTATTTCCGAAAATGTTGGTCTCATCGACGGGTCGTCGTCCCAACACATTTGCATCAAGTGAATAATGCCTTTGTTATCACCAATCTCACTCGGTAAGTCAGGCCTGAATGCTGGAATAAGCCGTTTTCTTACTTGGTCGATGATATCTGCGGGGACGAAAATAGTCATAGTTTCTTTTCAGCTTTGATGAATGTCTCAGAGAAGCATGAATTAACTAACTGTTCGTCTGCTATTTCTTTGGTTCTCACTAATAGGGCACGTTCGATAGGTCACCATCTCTGACCACTTTTATTTGTTGTAATTTTATTCCTTTTTATACGAACTTTCTATATTTAGTTTTGTAATCAAATTTTGTTTACGGTGTATTTAATCTTGCACTTATGACACTGGGCGACTTTGCAAGAATCTAAATGTAAATGTAAATCAATATTCTAACATGGCTCCCATTCTTTCAGGAAATAATTAATAAATTTTTTTAAAGTTTCTTTTGCCCTTCAATACTCAAAAGAGACTTGGATACAAAGAAAACAACACCAAATAATTACCGAAGTTTGTCCTGAATGCCTGGGAGCTATGTGTAAAGTTAAACACATGCTCTCGTTTGTGTAAAGTAAACCTAAATCCTGACCATTACATTAAGTTAATAACGTTCTTGACTCTCTTGAAAGAAATGGCACTTGCTGTTGTAACCACACTATTCTCCCTATCAAATCTCACAACACTCATATACAGAATATCATTGCAACTTAGCATATCTCATTTTAGTATGGTTTACTGGCATTACTGCGCTTTTCAATAACATGCGGATTCCAAAAATTCAAAGCTCAACCGACAAATGTGTTTTTCGCTATCGTCAATCAAATGTTCGGCGGCTCCTCACAGCTTCCGGCTACTGCCGAGCACTGTTCCGTTGTCTGAACTGTGCTCAACGATTTGATTACCGTGCGCCCGCGCTTGGCAGTGGTCGGAGGCTGGGAGGAGCCGCCGAATATTTGATTGACGGTAGCGAAAAACGCATTTGTCGGTTGAGCTTTGAATTTTAGAGTCCGCATGTTACTGAAAGGCGCAGTGATGCATTTGTATTAATAATTTAGAATAAATTTCGCAGTGATTGAGAAACTTACCCCTTGGTTCCATACAGAGTGAAGAATATGGCTCCTCTCTATTGAGCAGCTCGCTAAGAATGATCCCATAGCTGTACACGTCACCCGGCTGAGAACAACGCACACTAACATCCTCCCCAAGGAATTCTGGGGCTGTCCAGAATAGTTCTGATAGAAAATTAAAAAGCGTGGGAAAACAGTATACATAAAAAAATATTCCATCTTGTGTAACGCTTAGACTAGCATATAAAGGAACCACTCAGAAACTGATGGAAACTTACTCTTGTATTTAGCATGTTCACCAGCATCTTGTGAGCTTTGGCCGGACTTTAAAAGATGCAGCCCATAGTCAGCTACTTTGCACACCCACCGACTGTCAATCAAACATTTGGATGACGTAAGATGGCCGTGCACTTGGACAGGAGAGGCGTGCAGTGCTGCCAATCCCTAAAGAGGTATTTGAAAGTTATGGCAGTATAAAATTGTACACTTAATAGACCGAGGAACCAGCAAATGCTATTTTTGGTAAGACACATGGCGAGGTACTTGGTAGGGAGGTTGCCACAGGTTGGCAGACTCAAATGATGACGATCTGAGCTCGATTATTTATGATATTTCTGATCACGTTTTGATGTTAAAAAGGAAATAACATTTATTTTTTTCTCAAACCTTACTGCAAAAAGTGCGTAAAACGAAATTTATTCAGAAAGGTTTTAAGGCTATGATGAATGCCAAGGATATTTCTGTCAATCAGACATAAAGTAAAATGTTTCTGTTACCATGGCAATATCTTGCGAAAACGATGCTCGGAAGAACCAGTCAAGTTTTATATTTTCATTGGCTAAAATTTCCTGAAATAAAAGAGAAATGCACTAAGTTTCGATTACAAACCTTACTAGGTATCAGAATTGAGCAGACAGAAAATGTTAACGTACAATTCACGTGGTGTAGATATTTCACTGAAGTCTTAAAACCTGGTCAGTTGTTGATGTTTAGTTAACAACGGCCTTACCTCTATGCTGCCCCGATAGCAATATTGTGAAATGATACAGACATTTGGAGATGTGACACATACTCCGATATATGGATTGAGGTTTGTGTGAGCAATGTCGCGCACCTGGCAGTGAGAAACAAAAACATAGGAGTGAAGTGAGTAACGTATTCCTTTCATCTGATCATCATCATCATCCTTCTAACACCTCAGGGGGTTTTGTGAGGCTGCTAAGTATTCCTTTAGTCTGGGCTTATTCATTTAAACGGCCAGTTGGAATTTTCATCAATTCACGGTTTTAAATATTTAATAATGAAAAATTCAAATCGTCTTTTGAAAAAGGTTTTCTATCACCCTCGAAGCCTCGTAATGCAACTGAAATAGTTAGCTTAAGGAAATGTCTTAATGATCTTGTAGAATTTATTTTGAATAATAGACGCTGATTATTCGTTAGTACATGAACTACTTTTATTCAATTTGATCTCTAAGGTTTTTTTGCGTGCCTACCTGTTTCATATCTATTAAGATGTCACGTGTGAGGCTAATGGAATCCTTTCGTAACCGTTTTATAGCGACTAGTTCTCCCTGAAGTGAGGAAAAGATATTACTTAGTGAGATCAGTAACACAAAGATGCTTGTGTAAATTCTAATCTTTACCCTTACCTTGTATCGACCAACGTTCGAAGATAACGGTTTTCCTGCATCTACCCATTCGGACTGCAAGGAATGCTGTGAAACACGACCAAGGCTTTTAATGACCTGTGGTAAAACATTACATTAAGGTCACACATCACGGTATAAACACCACTGTCAGGTCACAAATTACTGTTAAAACCTTGACGGTTAGTTAACAGATCAAAGTAAAAACAACTGTAAGGTCAAAATACAAACAATATACCGAAATACAAACAAATTTACAAGCCACCGTAAGAACTTAAAAGTTGAATGTGGTACCAGCTGAAACAACTGTCTCAAATAGCCAGTAACCAGTGCAACAACAATTTTTCAGTTCAGAACTGGAAAGAGTGGACAGAAAAGTATTTCAAACCTCACGATTAGATGGGGTGATAGTTTTATCAACCATGTTAGTTTGTTCAGCAGGGATCAGCATCACTGAATATTCTCCGTAACGCTTGTAGCATAGTCGCATAATTTTTTATTTAATAACTGTTTTGTGACACATTTTCAATAGGGAGATTGAATCCTTTACTGTCATCACGCGCGTTTCTTAAATTGTAGGGAAAAAAACATAGAAAGAAAATAGAAATTGATTATTGCTGGAGCATGAAAGGGTGAAACTCTGAACTGATTGAACGTTAACGCAGGGGTGCGGCATAAAAAAGAGAGCAAATGCCGGTCACAAAAGACGATTTATATACCCCAGTTATATTTGATACATGGTTGATCGTATTATGGTGCAGTAACGATGTCGTGCACCTACATGTATTAGTGCATTTTAAAGAAAGTGCCGTTTATGTGGTTATCATCTCATCCGATGGCAGTTAGTGACTGAGTTTTCTGTCAGATTTCAAGGGCAGACAGTTTTACTTGGAGCTGGTTTTACTCACAGTGAACTGAGAACCAATGCTATTTCGAGTCCTTGCCTTTCTCGGGCTTTTTTCTTGCATGCTGCCATCATTGAAGCTCCACTGTGAACGTGTTGAAACGAGATACTCATGCGTTTGTGAACGGCAAATTTATTTCAGACGACTGACTACGAAAAACTAGTAACAACATTAGTCTGGTGAAAACGGAAGTTCGTTTTACGACATTTGCTTTCACAAATTTACGTCAGTTCTGTACCATTCGTGATTTTTAAGCCATGACTGCCAAGTAAGTTAGTAAGTGAGTAACAATGAACTCTCAAGTAGGCTCACTTGCGAGTTGGAGTGTGATTTAATATATCAAACACAATAGGCCGTGTTTGACCACATTTCCAAACACCGAGAAGCGAGTCGAAAATACGACGCGTAGCGGAGTATTTATGACGAACTTCGAGGTGTTTGAAAATGTGTTCAAACACTGTCTTGAGTGTTTGATGTATCTTCTCAATTAAAATAAAAAACTAGGGAGACTGGAGATATAAGGCTTAAAAATCTATGGTAATTAAGAACAGTTCTCCAAGCGCCGTCACAGTCAGGATTTTTTTGGTTTAAACTTTATGAATTAATAAGTTTAATATTCGAGAAACTTGAGTAGTAAGGTTTCAGTTTGTTTTGACACTTTTTTCTGACAGTTTCTCCGTCGGACTTCGGTTGTGCACTGAAAGGCACACAGTGCACTTGTTTGCTCCTATGTTCAAAATTACGACCGTGTGCCACCATAGGTAGTCATCATAGGTAGGTAGACTAGCCATGCTAGCGTATACATAGGGCATTAAGCTCAGTTCCTTTGAAAATCAGCTTTATTAAAATCTAGATCACTGGATAATGCAACCCAAGAGTTTTCACGGGCTTAGCCATCATGCTATATGAGAAAGTATACTTTACATTATATCAACTTGCTTACATTCTTACCTTGCTAGCAAACCTGTTATCCACTGCGCCGAATATGATTTGACTGAAGTTTATGATCCACGCGTCATTCAGCAGGTCTTTCTCGTACATTTTCCGCCTGAAATTATCAGAATTTTAAGAAGAGGCGATGAATGAGTGACTAAAACAAGGCATTACCAGGAATAAGAGGAGAATGTCTTAAAATAATACCTGTACAAACAGAACGCCACGAAAAATAAAATGACAACAAGAGGAGCAAGGACAATAACTGCTATCAGCCAACCTTCCATCGCGTTATCAGTCACTGCAAAACACAATAAAACAAAGTTTTCATTGGGGTAATAGAAGGTATTTATCTAGCGAGTGGGCAAGATGAAGCAAATTCTGCGCTGTGATTGGCTACACGAGCGGGCAAGATGGAGCCATCTTGCCTGCTAGAAATTACCTGCGGCGTCCCGTAATGGTGTCCCTCTATGCCATATACTGAATACTTTATTGATCTAGCTTGTTCGGATGGCTGGATACTGGCCTCGTTGTTTTTTGGTTGTTAATGGAACTCAATTTACTAAATTTCTGCAACAGAAGGTGGCAATTGTGTCCAATTTACGTCAATCACGCTCGAATCATTAGTCTGTTTTAAATATCGTTTTTCCGCAACAGTCGCGAAAATGTCTTTTCAATGTTTTTCAACTGTAATCGGAATGAGAAAGAAGTAGTGGGAGAGAAAGGCAAGCTCTATATACAACTCTCAATATGATTTGAATTAAGAGACATTTCCGGTGTGACAGCCTGATGTTATTGCAATTCTGAGGACAGAAGTTAGTGGCCTGTGGTATAACATGACATCCTGAACTAACCAGCCAGTGTCCATTTCCGATCCTGAGCCAGATTATTACCTACAGAGATAGCATCGCCGCCGCGTTAAAATCGTTTCACCTTAAATTCACTTCAGTCGTCATAATTGAGAGCCTTATCAGATGATTTGCTTTTCCTCTCCCTACCTGTGCAAGTTTCAGCATTAAAAACACACTCGGGCTCGTCATCAGGGACTTTAGTTAGTCCCCCTGGCCACACCGCCATTACGTTGGGTTGTCTGACGACAGTTCCGCTTGAATTTAGCTCCAGTAGCACTCTTGCTGTGCTGTTTTGTATATTCTCAAATACGAAAAACGGCACGCGGTTTCCTTTGCTGTCAGTCATCACTGGTCCGGACATCCCTGTGAATTCAAAAACAACTCACGGCTATAATTTCTGGTACTAATTCATCTTAGAAAGATACTACTTTTATGTCACCGGCGACTCACGCTTAGATACATCTGCATAAAGCCAAAACAGTGCTAATAAAAGTTTGAAGAAACAGTTTTCCTTGTTTGTATTTTTATTTCCACTGCACCCAGCACCTAATACTTACAACCGTGGACAAATTGTGTTGGAAAATGCGCAAAAACATGAAATCATATCCGTTATTCCTACAGAATTAGTGTGAGCACTCCCATTCTCCCTTCCAAAGTTGGAAAATGGTAAAATGCAAACTTGTGTTGGATGAAAGTGTTTTGTCAACATTGCACAGGGGTGGGGAGGGGCAAAACCCGTATAGAATATTGTTTTCCAACTCTGGTGACCAAGGTTGTAGGTACAGTAGAAATTAGAAACAAGGAATACTATTTCTTCAAACTTTTAGTGGCGCTAGTTTGGCTTTACAAAATCCATACAGATGTATAGTTTATAGCGTAGGAGGCACACTACTACCTGACTTGGTCATTGTTTGTTAGGGTTGAGAACAAACAAGGACCATACTTGGTGCCGGAAATGATGAGAAAATAATGTGTTTTAGGAAGCCATGGCGTTATTTACCTGTGAATAGCGGTGTTGTGGTGATAATGTTTTTAAACACTGCTGTTCCATTGAAGATGTTCCCTCCTTCATCGAGAGTGCGGTTTAAAGCATGCGCATACAGCCACACAGCGTCGTAAAGATAAGGTGCAGTCTGGGCTGCCTACCAAAAAATGTTGTTCGAGTTAATTGATATACTTGGACTTAAGAAACAAACAGTATTTGACATATTTTTCTTTAAAATTGTCAATTCTCTTTTCGCAGTAACCGCTGGCTAACAGAAAGTACTGCAATATAATAAGAGCGATACAACTATTTACATGTATAACTTGATAGCTATTTCTTAACCTCGTTGATAATTCATCTAGTTTAAACAAAGAAAATCATGACGGTGACGGTGTTTTGATATCTGATCTTAATTTGCATAGATTTTTTGCGATTTTATTTCTCCGAATCAGTGACACTCAAGACAGTGACTGACCACCCACCTAAATGTCTGCAAAAATACTCCGCTACGCGTTGTATTTTCAACTCTCTTCTCGGTGTTTGGAAATGTGGTCAAACACGGTCTTTCGTGTTTGATATAAATACTTACCGAAGGGGTGGCAGAGTGGTTCTGAAACTGTGGCATGTCCCGAAGTCCATCATTTAACCATTTTGTAATATTCTGTATTTCTAGATTTCCGGGTTTTTTCACGGACAATGTTATGAGACCTTCAAATACTTCCAGCATCTCGTCCCAACTCTGATACCACGGGAATCTCTCCAAGGATAGTCTTAGAGATTCCGAGATGTAGAAATCCAAGGTGACGAACGCGAAATCGCCTTCGAGCATCCCTAGCTTCTTAGCAACCAACAACAGGCGCGCGACTTCAGTCCTTACGGCTAAAATGAATATAACTGAAGTGACATGTGAAAATATAAAACCGAATGTAAGAATTAATAAATATGCTACTTTATATTATGGCTGAACTGGTCCGCGATGAAAGAACTCAACCAATGTTTCTTCAATGCGGACTTCACGCTAGTTCAAGAACACATATTTAACAATTATTCCACAGGCGCGGGTTGGATATGAGATGGTAGATAGCTAGAATCATCTCATATCCAACAAGCGCGATTGGAATAATTGTTTTGTTAAAAACGCCCCCAAACTAAAAAAAAAATAAACGATCCAAAAGATTACGCGTATCCTTTCCATATACATATTTGATTTGTAGAGCATGACATTATAGCTCATACCATGATGGCTAAGCCAATGAAAATTCTTGAATTGCATTATCCAATGGTCCAGTTTTTAATAAGTATAAATGTAAATAGAGGCTCTTTATGTCTGTATGCAATAGATGCAATAGACCTGATAAGGTGGCGTTATTAAAACTGATATAAACCGTGCATAGCGAATGTTTGCTCATGAAAATTTCAGAAAAAAATACTGAAGGTTGAGATTTAAATTTGGTTTATTTAACCGTTTGACGTACGATAGGCTTACACTTACAACTACTCGAAACGTTTTTTTCTGTTTATATTTGAGCTTTACAAGCATCAGTATTGGTGGATGAGCTTACCACGAGCGTTTTTCTTCGTTTCTCCGAGTAGCCTCTCAGTGTCTGTCTGTTGTGTTTCTGGATCGTCGGCCACCTTATAGACATTATAGTATGAGACGGTTAAGTTGTTCTCTTTGAAATATTTCATTACATTGTTTGCAATTGGTACCCAGATACTAGTAGAACCGTCGTCTTTCGCAAGAATGGCCGCCCTTTGCCATTCGTATCTTCGCATTATTTGCAGTAGGATTGACGGCGTGCTTTGTGAATACGTGCGGCTAAACGGCTGCGTCCTTGCAAACGTTGAGTACTTGGTCTTGTCTTCAAGGTCCGACGAGGAACAAGAGTATGATATAATGGGCTTATTCCAATATTGTGCGAGAAGCGCGGCAGCGAGGCACGCTATTGAGCAGCCAGGACCTATGTATGCATCTACAGATGCAGGCGATTGCTTAAGGTCAGCGGCTATCCCTACCGCGCTCACCGAGTCGCATGCGCTGTTGTGGATCGTGTAAGTCAAATTTAAAGCAGGAAGTAAGTTCTCATCTCTGTTAATGTCATCAAAGGCGGATTTTATAGCTGGTCTGATGCCATTTCCCACTTGAAATCCTCCTCCTGTGATTGGCACTAATACACCTACTCGAACTTCTTCGCGCACGGCATTAGATAACCAAAACACTAGACAAGTCACGAGTGACCTGATCATGGTGCGGAGCAATCTGTTGTTGAAAAACAAAAAAACAACTCATTAGATGACTGGCGTAGTTAAGATCTCGTGTAAACTTGCTAATGGCACCTCTGTCGTCGGTTGTTTTGCATTTCCTGTATTTTGGCGGCACCATCAAACACTGAAAACTCTGGGATAAGTTAAACTTATTGTAGCAGGGAAATATATTTATTTAACTTGAAGATTGCTGTTTTAAGAGATTTCTATTAGCTTGAATCATTTTATAAATCATTGGAATAGGTTGAGTATTGTGGTGTCAAAACTGCGCTAATAATATAGTAATATCCGTTTAAGGTTTTGAAATACCATGCATAGATTTAGTATCCGTGATAAGATAGAGTGTGGTATTGACAAGTGAGCGACAAGCATATACTGTAGTTTTACTCAGGGCCATTTGATCATTGATGTAGGGGAGGGGGGTGGACAAATTCCCCCCAAAAGAATATCGAATATATAAAAATATGGAGCAAAACAGTTGCAGAGGTTTGGAAAAAAAACCCAGCAGAACTGGAAGGAGGACAAACTATCAAGCAGCTACAATCTAAAATTATGCAACCCCACATCACCAAAACAATAATCATTCACCAACCCATCAAATAGACCAACTGTTCTCTCCAATATCGTGAGAAGAAACCATATGTTGTCGACAAGTCCGACCTGAAAAGTGTCGTAGCAGCCAAATGTTCTGGTTGTGAAAAGCGTGCCAAGGCACGTGTGGAGGAACCATTGAAAGACACTTTTCTTGTATTTTCATTTTCAATTACTACCTACTGCTGCATTTTGTTCAGATTGTGATTAAATTAACATCACACCGGGAAAGCAACACGCTATTTTACGTCGATCTGCATATCGATTATTGATGAGTTTAAATAAGCCTTCGAACTTTATACTGAGCTCCTTTTTGTATAGGTAGTGCTGCCTATCTTTCAATTACAGGACTTTTACGGAGAATTTTCTCCGGCTGGTCAGACCAGTTCCAATCGTCAAAATTTATAAGCTGAAAATGTCAAAATATACTCGAGTGGTGTTTACCTTATTGTCGTTTTTTTCATATCAGCTTGTCCTGCGCCACACACAAAAATCTGCCGGGTTGTCTTCGTTTATTGCTGTAAGATATTATCCACACTATTCATGTTTTTTTTTTTCGTTTTGACTACACGGAACATCTATTCGGCACACCTATTCGGCGCGTTGGCATGGTCGATAAACGGTTGGGAACGTGCAGTGAGGGAAGACGCTTTTTGTTATTCATCTCTGCTGTTTTTATGAATGACAATCTATGGCTTCAGCGAGGGTAACTTACCTTAACTAACACTTAGATCAGTTGAAATCCTGATAGCTTGATTCACACAGGAGAAACATAAAACACAACTTTCCATAAAATATTGAAACAGTTGGGTGCAAAAGAAATGAATTTTTTGGTAGGCGGAGCCTGTAACTGTTTGGAAAAGCTAAAACGTTTTGCTGTGTTCCAATATTGGCTTTATCAAATAAATAGATTTGCATCGTGACGTAATACTTTATCGCAGAGGAAGTTTCAGGCACGATTTTGTGTTTGGCTTGTAAGCTTTCAACTATAAGTGCAGGGGGTTTATACGCGTTTTTAAATAGGTAACTTTCACTAATGTATTTTTGCAAGTGGCTTAATTGAGTTGTCTCCCTCAGTTGACAGGCATACGATGGTATACAATGAGCTTAAAAAGTCTCGCCATGCGAATAATTTTTTCCTGAGAATCCTAATAATTAATTTTTGGATTTAATTTATTTCCATCGAGGAGAGTGTAAATTGTTCTAAGGACATATCTTTTTCCCAGTTTTCCTTTGAAATCGTTTGTAAAGGAAACGTTCTCTGTAAAATAAATTAAAAGAGCTTAGTGTAGGATAATTTTGCCTCTGTTTGATTTTAGAGTGTAGACAAAGGTTCCACATCTGACTATGAACAAATTTTAAATAGCTAAATTGCGTTTTGTTTGAGTTGTGATTCGCTTCAGAATTGGAAAATAATTTGAATCCCAGTTATGAAAATCATGAATCTCGCCTTAGGTATCGGTGATCACCGACCGTGAAAATAACTAGATCACTCGCCTGTGGCTCTTTCGTTTGTTATCTTAATAAGTAAGTTAAGAAACATTCATTTTGAAATTAAGTCAGGCCACTAGCAACTGGCGTAAACTGAAAAAAAGGAATTGTCAATTAAGAACTATTGTAGGATCCGAGGTTTCTTGGAGGTGGTTTTGTAGAGTATAGGCAGGAAACAGATTTGATGATTATAAACGGAGCTGTTGTGAATGGGTTTAATTGTTATATGTGATGATCAAAACAGCTCTTGTCCTTAGCTAATTAACAAGCTGATAACTACAAATATAAAAGGGACGAAAACGAAATTTTATTTTGAAAAGTAAATTTGTCTTTGGTGACCGGATATGCTTCAGATCATGAGGGCTAGTGTTCGACGACAGCCGAAATTCAATCTTTCGTGCTGCTTGCTATATGATATGGGCACATAATGCATATACGGTATATGGAAAGAATGACCAAATGTTGGAGTGACTTCTTGATTTACATCTCGAAAACGAGCTGGTGAAGCTTTCAAGTCCTATAAATAAGAAAAAATTGACTAAATTTACCAAAAATAATCTGTTTTCTTTAGCTGAAATTGACACTTGTCATTTTAATTTAAATTTTGCATTCTGCAGTTCCTTTGGGACAGTTATATATAGTTGGAAAATTAAGATTTGCTTCAGATCACGACGGCTAAAGTTCGACGACAGCCGAAATTCAATCGTTGCCACTTGCCAAATGATATGGGCACATATCATTTGTCTATTTGCATAAACTTTCAGAAAAGTCCTTCGTCTTGTTTTAACCTCGCATCTCGCGTCGCTCGCTTAGCTGCATGTTCTACCCTGAAACTCCTGTGGTAAGTCTAGTATATACAGTGTATGGAAAAAATGGCAAAATGTTGGAGTGACCTCTTGATTTGCCACTCAAATACGAGCTGGGAAAGCTTTCAAGTCCTATACAATAAGGAAAATTCACTAAATTTACCAAAAAGAATCTATGTTTGCTATAGCTGAAATTGACAGTTGTCATTTTAAGTTAAATTTTGCATTCTGCGGTTCCTTTGGAGGGGTTGTGTATAGTTGGAAAATGAAGATGTTATAAAATAATCAAAATAGAGGGGACTTATAATCGGTTTCCTTTGCAGTGAATGGTTTTACTCGGTTTATAACCACGCTTATTTATGGTGTGAATTACGGGTGCAGTCTTTATAAAGTAAGTTAATATATTTTGGCATTTAACACTGGTCTGGAAACAACAGAAATTATGAATGCAGCAATATTACACGGTTTCGAAAATAAAAGGAGTAACATTTCATGCTCATTCAGTTGATATGGACTAACGTGAAAGTTACCTTTTTGAAAAGCACACATACAAAAAACAAAACAAAAAACAAAAAACAAAAGCCTTTATGTATTCATCCGGAGATCACCCAGTTGGACAGATATTACAAAGTTGTTAGGTGTGATAACAGCCGGATGCAATTGTATTAAAGGATATCTGTCCAATTGGGTGATCGCCGGATGAACACATGACAGGCAGCAGTAAATTGCGATAAAATGATTGTCATTAAATAGTCAGGCAAATATGTCCATGCTGACCGCACCTGATGACGTTCTTTAACCGCCTTTTAATATGACGCCCAGCCAAGCGGGCTGGCTTGGTTTCCGAGAAATTCGACTGGCTATTATTTTGTTATTTTATTTTTATTATTTCTTTTATATCTCCGGTTTCTTGCGAGCGAGATTGTGATAACTGGGCTTGAAGTGTTTCTGATATGAACACGCCAGCCTAGTTACAGGGTTCCGTAGGAAGGCAGCCCTTGCCTGTTGTATTTTCCACATCAGAAGTTTGCTACTTAATTGCAGCTGTTAAACAACGAGCCGGAGGTTGAAAAATGCTATGTTAGGCGCGAACGAGAAAACTTAACGATGAGTTTTTTTATCACACGGTTTTATTCCTTGAATTTCGTGCACAAACCCCAACCGCGCAACCGTTTTTCATCTTGGTTTTCTCATATGAATATAGGACAAAACTCGCCCAATTAACTGAGCCAGCCCGGTTAAAAGGTTCAAATGAAAATAACCTGAAACACTTACATGAATTAGGTTTCCGCCAATGTGTATTTTCCCAGAATTAGTCAAGTTCTACATACTTCAGTACGAGAAAACCAAAATCAAACTGCTGAACCAAACGTACAATAAATTGAACAAAACTGTCTTGTAACTTAGGTCTAAAGATTTGCACGCCATACAACATTAAGAGTCACTGACTGAAAATATCGAGAATGGCTGGCCAGGTTAGAAAAATCGAAAATTCTGAAACTTTGCCTAAAGAACGCTTATAGGGAGCCACTTTCGAAAATATTATTCCGATTTTCTTAGAATTTTAAGTCTTCGAGAAATTCGCGAAAAACGAAAACACAGCTTTTTGCCTCATTAAATATGCAAACATTATTTGGAAAATTGACAAAGTTCTCGGTATTTGCATTGAAACAGTTTACAAAACTAGAACACAGGGCAAACTTAGCATAAGAGCTTTACCTTTCTTCTAACAATAGGAAGTTTTAAATCTTTCAAGCATTTTGAAGGATTCCATTGACCGTTGAAGAATTGCCTTTTCAAGCCCCTATGAAAATCGCCAAAAATGCACAGTTTTACAGGCTTCAAGCGCATCTTGGTGTCATTTCTACTATAATACTACGTAAAAAAATTTCTGGGCAATTAAGGTTCACACAGGTAAGGATGCAAAAGTTCCCAACAGTCTCTTCTCAAATTTGCATAATGCGGTATGTTCAAAGAACTCTATTGTTGAGCCCTCTAGTCTGTTTTTGTTCCATTTGTGGGCCATGCTTTGTGGGAAATCATACAAAAATAGAGTTGATCCATGTCGTTATCACAACATAGTTTCATTATTTCACACAAGGTACATAATACTATAGAAAAAGCCCAAAACATAAGTTTAAAGTTACATAGACTAAACACGCTACATGAATTACGTGACTGGCGTCATTTAATATATATTTTGAGTTAGCTCCTGACCAATTAATNTATTTAATGAGGCAAAAAGCTATATTTTCGTTTTTTGCGAATTTCTCGAAGACTTAAAATTCTAAGAAAATTGGAATAATATTTTTGAAAGTGGCTCCCTATAAGCGTTCTTTAGGCAAAGTTTCAGAATTTTCGATTTTTCTAACCTGGCCAGCCATTCTCGATATTTTCAGTCAGTGACTCTTAATTCTTGAAATTACTGGAGAAAAGGCTGACGCCATTTCCAGTTTTCACGCTACATGTAGTCACTGCATCCTCTGAATTAAAGGTCATTTAATTCTGATGATCTAAATCACAAAAGCATGGACGAAGGTAAATAAAGAAGTATAGAGAGTAAGCAAGCTTTAACTTAAACAAATAAAGAAAGACACATCTTAACGGTTTCGCATCTCAACTACGTTTTTACTTTACAGTAGCCAAGTAAACCAAACGCACATATGTATATCTAAGTACGAAGAGACAGCAATAGTCTATCCTTATCAACAGAAAAAAGTGAAACTCACGTTCAGTGTCAGTCTCCCTCAATTTCAAGACCTTTGGCAAAACCAGCATGGCGATTGTTTTATTGTGGTTACCACCTGTCAAAAGTACAAGCTCATGTCAAAGATTCAACCAGTGCCAACACAAATTATTGAAATTGAAAATGTTCAATGGTGTATTATTAAGCCTATTGCAAATCTGTACATTTGTGGCGTATGTCCTTTCCCAAAAACACGTCAATTTATTCAGTTGTTATATTTTTTTTTAAGATGAGTGACATGTTGTGTCAACGACGCAAAATGTTATGTAAAATTTACATATCGTCAACTAAATTGCGTTTAGAATATTCCATACGACGTCATATTCCGTAGGGAAAGACGACTCGACGAAGAGATTTTTTTGTGAGAATTTCGCTGCACGCTTTAACTCGAGGTTGGTTTGAATAATTGCATTGAAAGCAAACTTTTTAATTCCATGCCTGGTAGTAAAACTTAAAAGGTATTTTAGCTCAGAGCCTTTTAAAATCCGGGATAATCTAATTAAAGAACACCGCGTCGCTTGTTGAAAACAGGACTATATCGCGTATGAATAGGAACTAAAATGAGATTCTAAAATGAGAAAAGAAGCCTTAAATTGAAACAACACTCTCTGGAAATTATGTCCTTGCAAAAATCTCCTTTACCACGGACTAGAGTTTGCTAACTGGACTTAAAGCCCATGTAACTGAATAAGTCGGCTTTTACGTACTCACTGAGTCTTAAAACTAATGCTCTGAATCTGAATGAATAACGAGATATCAGTATGCCAAACAATAGTGAGCCAAACTTGGCCATGAGGAATCACGCCAATAGCTGAGAAAGAAATGGTTGTTTATGTTGAAGGTTGCCATAAAAAGACAGAGTGGTAACTGCATGAAATGTTCCGCTGTGGAAATAATACTCGTGCATCACCTGTAAATACAAGAATCAATTATCCTCCAAGCTGCTTTCTATGTGTCTGCGTTATGCAGTAATTAAGAAATGTCATGCCTATCAAGAATCAACTGGTTGTTTGAACATGACAGGATAGGTATCATAAACATGTACCGAGGACTAAAAATAAGGGCCATTACGTAGTTTTGTCAGAAAATGAATAAAGAAGTCAAAAAACGTTAAGTGAGGTATAGCAATTAGTGTTGCAGATGTTTCTTTTCGTTCGTAATATTCTAGTTTCTGTGATGTTTAAAGACCAATATTTTCTAAGCTATTTTACTTTTCGTGTTTTTATGAAAGCTAGGAAAACGTGACATGCTTAAAAACCCGAACCTGCCTTCAAACACCTACCTTCAAATTTTACCGGGGAATTCTTTTGCGGGGTATAATTGTGGAGAAAGTCACTAAAGCGAACATGAAATTATCACGTCATAACTAAATGAGAACTTACAATGGTTTATCTGAATAATGGGCCCTTTAATGCTTGCCTGCCCGGAGGTTTTCGTTGTTAACTCCACAATGCCTCACGCGTTCAAATTATGATGTTTGACCGTTTATGTTTTAGGAACAAGTGTCGACAAACTTATTATTTTTAGCTGCTATCGATGGGATAGATGTCATAATTTGATGCTCCTAGCTGATGTTTTCTTCTGCAGCTGGGTTGTCACCTCTACTGATGGAATATTTATTGCATGGCTGTTTTTGCATGATTTGTTTGTGCTGTAGCTTAAGGAAAAACACTCCGCTTCCGAAGTATTAAAATATCATTCATAATTTGTACCGAAACCACCTGGAGGAATTAACAGCCCTTGAGGCTGGATATGATTGCTTATGCAGAGTCAGTCCTAAAGCAAGGAACTAACAAAGCATTTTAATAGAACCCATCCGCAGTATATAAACAATAGTCTCCATTTGGCGCGAAAATATGCTCGGATATTTGTCCGCTGACATTATCTGTTCCGAGAAGCGAGCAGAACAGAGCTGTGAACTTTGAGGAACAAATAATGTCCAAGGACAAATATCCGAACATATTTCCCCCTCAAATGGAGGCTATTATGCTTATTATCCTTAAATATTTTTCGCAACCGCGCGGTTTTGAAAATTGGGGAATTTCTCTCGGATATTTCCCAGTTTTAGCGTTTAGACCAATCGCGAGCGAAAATATTTGATGAATTATAATTTGAGTTATTTTGGCCGCGTTCAAAAATTACCTTTAAGTCGAAGAAAACCTGAAAATAGTAGTTTACTAAAATAGAAAAACACCAAAGAGATAATACTAAACCATAAACGAACAGGAATGATTAAGAATGGAGAGGATTAACGCGGATCACAAACGACGAACTTAAAAAATTTGGGCTAAACTTTTCAGTTTCAAGATGGGAAAACCGTGAAATAGCTCCGTTTAAGTATGATCTGTAGTAAAAAGATCGAGCAATCGACGGCACAAGTTGAAATTTGTATAACTGTTTAGCCATGGCCATAAGATTAACTTGTTAAATTCAATGATTATAAACTCTCCCCGTGTTGTCTGCTAAGAAGGAGACATTTTCAGTATTTCCCCATATTTAATTATGCATATGAGAGTATTGTTCTGTTCATGACTGGCGTTCGTGTGCAAAGGATTGTATGAAAGATGTCATATGTATAATTAAGTAAAGGCTATTCGGAAATCTCACCTGTTGTTGATTCGAGTCCAAATTTTGTTATTCTTCGTTTATAGAATTTAGATTGTAGCGTTTCACAGATTCACGGCGGCCATTTGCTTTTACCCAAACAAGGAAATTTGCTTCTTTAATTGGGAAAATAATTTTTTGTCCTTATGCCAAAGTTTCCTGCTGTTTAACGAACTCTATTCATTATTTGCTTTCATTACAATGCAAACTTGGCACATGATTTCTGAGGCCGGGGGCTTAATTTCTCAACTGGTTTCTTATTATGTGTGGTAAATATAACCTAGCCATGCCATGCTTTAAGTTTTGTTTAAAATAGCCGCCATTAATTGTATGCAATGTCCTTGCAGTTCTAAAAACCAAACGCCTTTCGTAGTTAACCAGTCAAGAAAGATATCGATTATCTATTGCAAACTAACCATGATAGAGATATCAAGACTTCATAATTTAGCTCTCAAAAGTGATTCTGATTCAACTGCGTTATTATTAGGACGAGCCGAGATTTCAAGTACAGTGGAGCCCCGCCTTACAGTCACCTCTTTCAAAACTGATACACGCGACGGTGATCTCGTTATTACGGCCACTTTTTTTGTCCCGGCGAAACGCCCATACATTTTCTTATGACAAAACTTGTTAATGCGGCCACCCTGTTAATACGGCAAACGGCAGCATTCTGAAATCCCAACCTGTATAACCCTATAAATTATATCCCGTTTATAGGGCCACTCAAACCAGGGCCGGGTTGTTGAAAGCCCGATTAAACTAACCCAGGATTAGCGAGAATTTTGATTTGAGTTTGTAACATTTCGGTGAGGTTTTATGTTTATACTGTTTGTCCTTCAGTTTTGAGTTTGACTAAGCTTAAACTACACAAAACGTAAGCAGTAAAAAACATTTTTATGTAAGAAAAATAAATACTTCGGTTAACTTTTAATCCTGGGTTGGCGTTAACCGGCTTTCGAACAACTCGGCTCAGTTATATTCATCTTACCATTGTTAATATTGTATGTAGCGATTGAAGTTTCAGTTTCTAAAAATGATGTACATTCCGGACAATTAGTAAAGAACAATTGTTGAGAAGTGCAATCGTAATATATCTGTTAGCTTCTGTTAAGACGTTACTCAATTTGGACCAGTCGTGAAATTTGGCCATACCCCGTTAATATGGCCAAATATCATTGGCCCGTTGGTGACCGTATTAACGGGGTTCCACTGTAACGTCTTCTTTCCAAGGTTTGCGCACCCGCAGACCACATGACCAATTTGCATTACAACATGAAAGCTTTTTGTGAATAAGGTCCGTTAAGTACACCATTATGGCCGCCGTCAAGACCCTCCACTGATTGGTATTAGATGGTTTCGCCCGCTTATGGCGCTCTAGAAGACACCAAAATTGGAAAAAGTGTGGCAGCGAATCAGAGGCTAATAGTGATGTCGATATGGATAAGTTAATCTCGGTAGCCTTGACAAAACAAAATGCAATACTTTGTTTCTGGATTTCAAAAACCTGTAAAATGTCATGTTATGCATATCACGGAGATGAACTGGATTCCATATTCCACCTTGCAAAACCGTCCCAGACCCCACTTGGCAAGATTGGAAAATTTGTGAACGCGAAAGGACGAGAAGAGGCATCTGGTAGGGTGTTCGTGTTTCCTTTTCGTCAACATCGCCATGTAGCATCAATTGTATGATTTTACTCACCCGATCGCTAAAGTAAAAATTAAAAAAAAAAAAGGTAAATACACGTGGCAAAAAACGCTTGATCAGGTTAAATCTTTAAGATGAAATCGTTATGTTGTGGTTTCCACTATGTGCACTGGAAAGTGACAGTGAAGTACTAATGTTTTTTTAGGGAGCCAAAACTCAAATTATTTCCTGCCACATCAGTGTGATCCGTCTGAGATCTTTCATGCGTCTTGACGAATGAACAAACGCGCCGAGACTGATATCCATTTTCGAAAGAACAAAATCCCGTACTCGATTTTCAAACTTGAGTAGACAATCGTTTTTATCAAGGATGATAACATCCGTGTCATTTTCAAGAATTAATATAGACCAATATACTTCACAAGAAAATAGATTGCCAGTTTTCAGTGTTAATTATTGCTAGCTGCAGTAAACCTAGTCACAGGTTTTGACAATTGGTTACCATTCTTTTTTATTTGCTGTCACAGTTTGACACTCTGATCTATTAGTTTTCTTCAAAAGGCGACATTTATGAGACATTTGTTATCAAGTTATTTTACTACAAAGACGAATAGGAAACATTCGAAAACTTATTAGAGAGGACACAATATTCCCACTGCAACACAAACACAATAAAGTTGATAAACACAGCGAGACGGCTAGCTTAAAATTAAATTGTGTTTGGCGTTCAAATCCCGAATGGCTTATATGGTTTTTCATCCCGACGCCAAAATAATGTTCCCCACAAAAAGCTCGTTGTAAAGCTTCAAATGGCGGCAATTTGTTGTTTGGGTATATTAAAAAACACAATCCGGAAATAATATTGGTAATGCGGTAACTTGGATGCAAATATTGCTCAAAATAGCGTCGTTTTTTCAAAACACTTCAACAGGGGCAGTTGCAGTTTAGATTAGGGCGCATATATCCAACTCCAGAAGTATATTTTGATGATATGCGTGTGTTACCCTCTTCGACACCTGGTGCATGACCGTCTACCAAACTAAAATAATACATTTCAATTTTTGTTCCTAATTTCAAGGCTTAGCTTCCACAACGCTACTATCAGATAGCCTGTGAAGTAATCGTTGGTTTGGTTTAGACTTTGCGAATCAGTTGTGTGCAGCGTCAAGAGATATTAAGCTGCTCTTTCCTTGGAAAACGTTTGGAACATCTTACAAATGTGGTTCAAAGTTAGTTCCGTTATACTTGTGACCCTGAAAGGTAGTCGGCTGGAGAGTTTTTTCCTTTACTCAGTTATGCATTAAAACAGTGAACGATAAGAATACAACCTCAAATCTTTAAAATCGATTTTGGGTTAGAACGGCCGGTAGAATACGTTTTGGAAATCTGAACTCTTGGCTTTTTTCTTTACTTAACAGCACTTTTACCTCACTCATACGTGAAAAAGGAGAAAAGATATTTCCCCTAGCTTTTTGAATACGGGCTACAACATGGCTATGTTCGTTTCTGACACTTGTGCTGTGCCAGCTTGAATTATTTCTCTTTAAAAACAACCTCGCGGCGCCTATCAAGTAAGTGGAATTTTTAAGCGTGATGAATCGACGCTTTTTGTTGCCCTCAATTATGTAAGAGAAATTGAATAAAGGCGATGCAGGTGACTTCTTGTACGGTTTTAAGGCGTTAATTTGGTTGCTCCATTTTTTCACTGTCTTAAATGTGGTTTTCCTTGAATGTTATTATAAATTTGTTTTGCTTCCTCTCATCATGCTCTCGGAAGATTTAAATTTGGTTTGCGTCAATCTTAACAAGGTGGCGGTCGACGATTTTCGACCAGCACTGAGCAATCGCCCATACTCGGAGGTCTCTGAGAAGGTCAAGAAAAACTTAATTTGACTATGAATGTTTAATAAAAATCTAACGCGTATTACCTCCAAGTCTTAAGTCACCAGGTATACAGTCTTACCTTCTACTACCTATGAAGCCATTTTCTTTGGAAGTATCTCCCCTCTATCTCTCATTCATGAGATAAACTCCGGGCTCTGATTTAAAAAGAATCAACTTCCACTCAACATTGTTCACCACCAAGGAGTAGAGCAACGTATTTGCATCTGTTTAATTTAAGGGTTGAATTCGAAGGCCTTGTTTTGCATACCTGCTGGTAATGTTTGTATTGAACGTTTAATTATATCTGGCTGTCAATCATGTCCAAGTAGAAACGATCCCTTAAATGTCACTTATGACAATTGGTATTGTTTCCCTTACTGGAGAAGAAAGAGAACACTACAACATTCAAGTGCCGTTATTTCTTCGAGTTGATCTAGTTGTCCTCTATTTATTTACGTGAAAGACAAACTTGTTCGACAACATTGACACTAAAATGTCATGCATTGCCGTTGTCTTAGCAATATCCAGTGATATCCAAAGAATGATAGGGTTATCAGCGTGAGTCTTTTTCGTTGTTGGTGCACTCGCTTTGTGCAAATTTTAATTTTCTTTTTATCCCCCCAATCCTTGTCAAGATAATGACAATTGTGTTTTATTTTATGAATGCCGTGGTTCATGTTGCCATCATTGGCTCTACACCGGGAAAAAAGAGAAGCTAAAAACCTTGTTATGTCATTCTGAATTTAGAGTTAACTTCTGCCCATGGCGACTTTAATGGTCTTCGTAAATTTAAACCTTTGCCTTTGGAGAAACACATCAAAACCAATTTCGTTAGGAAGACAACAAGTCCACACGTAAACGACTTAAACGGCCAACGTAAACGTGTATTTTCGTATACGTTCCCCAGAGTGGATAATGGATAACTTCATTGTTGTTCGACTCCGTTGATGTAGCCTGGCCTTGTGTGTACCCAGACGTTCTCGTCTGGTGGACTTTTGAGCGTTAAGTAAATAGCTATTCCTTTCATCCTTCTTGTCTGGAATGAAATCAATGACAGGCGTAAACTATCCACAAACAGTCTCGAGATTTGCGTGGACAAAAGTAGATTGCGTTTACAGACCTAAACGTCTGTATCTTTTGTTATTCGAGGTTATTCATGAATTAAAACTGTAGAACTGCCAGATGCTAAATGCTTTGTCCCAACTGAAACTAAACCACCCGGACCTCTTGCAGGATCTTATAGTGATGAGTGATGATGCTTTGGGTGAGCGCAAAAACCTCAATTGAAAAAACTCATATATGCAGTTGGTTGGGAGCTGGTCAGTATGTGAGTTTTCAGGCTTTAATTTCACAACTGCTTAAGTTGTGTGTATAACTGCGATGATCAATCGTGTCTTCGTATCTTTCTCCGCAGTTCAAATATACGATCTTTCATATGTTCATTTGCGAAATTATTTATATTGCATGGTGAGGTGAAATCTTATTGCTTTACTGTAAGTTGTGTTCCGGGAAGTATGTTTAATTATCTCTGGTAGTTTCACAGTGATTTCCTTCGTTTCGACATTCTCGGAATAAGATATCATAGGCAAACTCTTGCGTGTAAACAAAAACAGAGGTGTGGGTGACTAGGACCCTTTAAGTTCTTAAAATGTGATTACAGTTCAAAAAGATAACGCAGAGTAAGTAGACTGTAGATCGTCTTAGACACCAAGGCAGTCGGTCAGAAATATTCCTGAAAACCGTGACTATCCTTCGCACTATTTACGGGCAATTATTCCAAAAAATCAGGCAAGCTTCTGAATGATTTGTTGAACTTTACACACTTGGTTCAACTTTTCGTCTTCAACCATTCTGCCACATGTGCTGGAGAAGTGCGCCGTAGCCAAGGCCAGTCATTGCCTACTTTTGCTTTGTCATCTATTACTCTTCACTTGTTTTCTTTAACTGTAGCTTCAGTTTTAGTCAGTTCCTCCCCTTCTTTTTTCTCTCTTGGATTCAAAGCTTTAGCAACGGTAATTCTTTTACTCGCCGTCAGTCGCTTTTTGAACACGCGAAAGGACTCTAAGAGTCTAGTTTGGTGAGATTTATCCTCCATCAAAGAACTGAAGGAAAACAAAACAGTCGATGTCGCGGCAAACCCCAGGACAACGCCAAGAAAAATAATAAAGTAATCTGCGAACGTATTTGCCTCGTTTTCATCGAATGCCACATAGTCTCCAAAACCAATAGTACTGAAAGTTATGAAACAAAAGTAAAAGCTCTCAAGCATTGTCCAACCACGTCTCCAAATTGCTAAGACAGAAAGCAGAAGGAGTGTTACGAGCCAGAGGAAAACGTTGATACCAAGAACGATTCCCTTTCGCACGTTCTCCTCGTTTGATCCGTCAATTTTTTTCTTAATATTTTGAATTAAAGAAGTGATGACGTCACGAAGCTTTTCTCCGATAGTTTTTAAAGTCAGACAGGTCAGCGGTATACCAACCAATGCGTAGAATATGCAGAAGAGGCGACCGTTTGCCGTCCGAGGAACAATGTTGCCGTAACCTGTAAAAACAGTAATAAAACTTTCACAAGTTGTTGAATTTTCTCATTATAAATCACGAATAATTATTTCTTAATGGCAACTGAAATATCAAATTTGACAGGCAGTCAAACAATGGAAAAGGCCTCTTAATTATTTCATCTACAGTCGAACCTCCGGTTGCGACCACTTCTCAGCGACCAGTTTTCCAAAATACCTCAAGTTTTCAAGTCAAATCACTGCATTTGGAACCTCTTGAAAGCGACCGCCTCTCGTAAGCGACCGCGAGCACTTCTAGAACTAAAAGTTTGAAATTTTCTCTTGTTTTTAACCTCCCGTAAGCGACCACTTGACTTGGCGAGTAAATTGAATAATATTAAAGGTGTTGTAAGCATATCGCATTCCTGGGTAGCACAAGAGACGGAAATTTCTCAATGGCAAGTACAGGATTTTTTCTCGAAATTGACTTTTCGCATGACTAAAACATTTAAAACATGGGGTAAGTCTCTGCAGTTACCATATGCTAATGAGGCAAAAATTTGACCCATTATGGTCTAAGCTCTCGCAAACGACCACCCCCCGTTAGCGCTTACGGGAGGTTCGACTGTATTGAAAACAATATGATGCGTTTTACAAAAGGTGTTTTTTTATCGTCCATATTATGATTAAGTATGTTTGATTATTTTTGAGTTCTACTTTTTACTATCCCAAGCAGTAAATGAAAATATGCCAAGAAAATTAATTACAGTAAGAATTTTCTTTTGAAATGAGGCTTTAACTGAAAGGCATTTCAATAAATGATGATGGTTAATGTAAGAAACGTGACTGAATGGACGACTGAGACATCTATGAGAAAAGAAATATGCGAAATGTAATATGAGTAGCATAAAAATATTTTGTAGTTAATATGTCTAAGATTTCAGTTGCATTGCCTCGTAAGCAAGAATTGAACAAGCAGCGATAGTTTCAAAAAAAAAAAAACATAATTTGAAGGACAGCATTCAAAGATGAAAATATCAGGTTCCTTGGTGTATTTTGGAACAGCTGTAAGATGCTAACAAGCGTGTATAGAAAGGTCGTCAGAATTACTTACCCACTGTTGTGACGACACTTCCCGCAAAAATGAACGCGTTCCCAAAACTCCACATGGTGTTTGAATCCAAACTGTGCCTGTGCTTCAAAAGGCTTTCCAGTTTGTACCAATCCTCGTCGGTAATGTTGTACTTCTCGTTAAGGATTTTTCGCGTTGCGCTTAATAAAGATCTCTCCTTGATCTCGTTGCTTATTTCGAGTGCTTGGAAGACGAGCGCTCCGATTACAATGTAAGTTGTGAATAAGCAAGAAAACATAAGTAATTTCCTCATGTCCTTATCCAAGATCATCTCGATGTCTTTTATGCACAAGATAACTTATTGGCAGTCGATAAAACAGAGATTCACTCGAAACTAGTCTACCAAAAAGGAACCAACACTTTCGATTTTTCAGTCCACAGTCATTGGTACACAAATAGAGCTAAAAGCTGTCACTACCAACAAGGACATTGTCTTTGAACAGGTGGTCATTGAGGTGCTGATAACATGCAGATATTGGAGTTCAATTCACTTTACTGTTTGATATCAGAAAGAATGGGGAAAATATTATCTAGACGTATAGTCGTGTAATTAAACGTAGTTCTAAGATATATCGAGAATAGTATACTCGTGTTCTTGGTTGTTAATTGTTGTTGAGCTTTGGTTGTCTTCTCGGTACACTTTTGTGAAACGTCTTAGAAAAGTAAACAATACCTAGATTGATCTTTTCTCCAAATAAAAAAAAGAAATGCAAATGAGCCAGTAAATTTAGAGTTTCCTTTCTTCCTAACTGCACTGAGCTTGCATGGAGCCAAATCTTTAATATAAGTGAAGCACGAGATGACAGCTTCCTGACACTAGAATCAAACTTATGAGCCTAAAAAGGGTGAATTATTTGCTATTTGCGGTTAAATTAAGTAATTGAAGTTATTTTGACACATAATTTGGCTCTGTTTAGTTCTGAATTTCCACTTTTGAGTACGGTCACCCAGCGAGTGTAGATAGATCCCTCGTAAGAAGCGAAAAGAATCTTCTCCACAAAACGTTCTGGTGATTGCGGCAATGAACTACTTTTTTTCCAGTAGTGTTATGGCTGCATTTGCATCTACGTGGCTACATTTAATTGTTACTGTTGGGCATCTATTACTTTGGAACTACTTGTATGTTTCCTTGAGCCCGTTCACAGCAACCGCAAACGCGCATTATAGCCAAAGTAGAATGAATTCAGCTCTTCCAGGCAATTTTTTTTAAAGATGTCTTGTTTCATGGATAGTAGCTAGTTTATTGGTGGTATGTTATGGCGAGGAGGGAGGTATATTATTTATTTGTGCAGTTGACATTGTATTTTTAATAAAGATCGATATTTAACTTTCGGCCAAGACTTTGATTTCCAGTATATAAGAAAGTGGATTAAAATTGCTTTTACCAATACGAAATGAAAATGTCGCAGACCCAAGATCATTTAAAATTATATGATAAAATTTGATAACGTAGATAGCTGACGTCGTTAACAAAGCCTTTATCCCAAAATAATTAATTTCTGTAATTAAGATGAACGACGGAGTCATACATAAAGACTTCTTGTTGGACAAAGTCATAAATTGAACTATGATTTTCTATTTTTGCTTCAAGTTATGTGACCATGTTATTGAAATTCTAGTGAATTTTTGTTCCATTGTGAATCAGAATAACAAGAAACCCTGCCAAACGCTTCTCACATTAGTTTTCCATAAGCTAGTTACGATGTCGTCACCACCTACAGGATTTTTTAAACTTTGCCAAAAGTTGCGTCTTATCATGCTTATCAAAAGTTGATA